AAAATAATAAGTTAACATAAGAACTCACGGTGGAAAACGGGTAATTCGAGGCAATTAAACAATAACATCCGAATCCCACAGGGTCCCAGTTACATCCAAAAATAGCAAAATACTGTATATGCATAAAAAGCAACGGTAAATAAAGATCTAAGCTATTCACTAAAACAAATGCCAAACGGTATTCTAAAATATCTAAGAAATACGCTAAACACTAGTAATGTAAAACGATACGTCGTAACAATAGCAGCCCATCGTAAGTGAAGAGACTAGTTTCCTGTCCTATTTCCTAGAGCCCGACCAGTATGGAAATTTTGACTATCACCAATACAATATTGGGGGTTGAAGCTGAATGCCATTAATCGATAAAATGGCTTAAAATCTTTTAGCTTTGTCCACCCCCAAAATTCTACGTAAATAGCGAGTGGAGCGGGGCTTGTTTATTTAGCGCAGCTGTTATCAACCATGAAGCTAAGCTAAGCTAGTCAGATCCATGCTATACCTAGACCCACAGTAGGTTTACAAAGTGGTACACTGGTCATAAAAAAGTCTTCCTATGGTGTGTTCACATATCCTATCCTCCACTATTCACCACAAAATTATCAAGTGTGTTACAAAAATATAAATTAAACAAAAAAACACCTTCATGTTCGTTGTTTAAACAGTCAGTCTCGTATGGTGAAGGTCTAATTATTGACCGTAGCCGAGATTATTTTTCTTTGTAGAGAAGTAAAGATTTCAGACAAACGATGCATTTCATTGAGAACGACAAAGATAACTTTACTAACACTGATATATATTTACTGCTACATTAAATTTATTGTTCTGGGTAAAGTTGTGCAAGGTATTAGCCTATGCTAGGTTAACTAAATGTTAGCTTGCTAACTTGAGAGGCACGTAGCTAACGACAATCAGGTTGGAGGATTGAAGATAATTTATTATTGTTGATTTATTTTACAGATCAGTTAAAATAAACTTAACATGATCTGTTCAGTAAAATACGCCACACAGTATTGCTCCCTGCTTCGGCTGTGCTGAATGTGAAAGTGAAACTTAAGGGAGCTTCCATGACTTGAAAGTAGTCGTCATGCGCCCTCTGCTGGATACATCGTACAATTACTGCTGGTTCCAGCATTTTAGGGGTGAAAATTAGAAGTGCTTATATCAGCGCATAATTGGACAATTATCACCGATACGATATGTCCCCAAATGTCTGTATCGGCTTAAATATCGGCGCTACTGATATATCGGTTGAGCCTTCAAGGCCTTCAATATTTCCTTCAAGGTTTTCAAAGTAGCCCCTGGATCAGGAGGAAACTCAGTCATTCCTTGTAAAGTGGTGACTTTTTCCAAGAGTGTCAAAACAAAACTACCTATTTACTTATCACTGATTTAGTTATTTTTTTAATTCTACTGTAAAGGAACATATATCTGTGATATATTATCCATAAATTAAACGGATTCATTCATTTTTCTGGACTGAATA